ATAAAGATATGCCTTGCATGTATCTGTAGCAGAGCTTATTTACACATGTATAAAAGTGATATCGTGGCAGCGGTAAACAATCAAAGCTTCATAACTAACACAAAAATGTCGATTTCAGCTTCTCTATACTATTGTTTAATGAACGGCCAATAGGAGAGCCAATAGTGTCCGGTTGATCTTTCCACCTAGTGAAAAACGGAAAAATTAAGACATTCGTTCTTGCCCTGCTCTTCATCTTGCCCCGGTCTCCCCTATATAAGGAGAGAATGAACTAATAGTAGGAATTGAAAAAGAAAGGTGTATGCAACAAATGTTGTTAATTATTTCAAATATATGGATTATGTTCTGAATTTTCCTGTGAACACAATATTTATTTTGATTTGACCCATTCGCACTGTAATTTTTAGTAAAATAATCATTAAACAAAAATTCTGGTACTCAAAAACTATATTTCGTACAATTATTTTGATTGTTTTCAAACTATCCAAAGACGAAGACCTCGAAAAAATTTTCGACTATCCCTTTTTTTTTTCTAAGGAAGAAGTACTGGCCGGATATTAAAAACACAAATCCTCAAAAAAAAAGCTATAACTATTCACTAAATAATTCTTTGAAAACAGATATGATAAACACTCATAAACAATAATCATTTTCGAAACGTTTCTGTGACATCTCTTAACTTCTTTTTTTTTTTTTTTTTGTTTGTATCCAATAGCAATTTCCCATTTCCAACGGGAAGACATCAGGACTTCCCACAGGACAAGACAGGAATTGGAGCACCACATTATTGCCAGTTGTCCTGATTCTGAGAGGAAGGATACTTTCTTGATTTGACACCTTTTTTCATTTCTTTTGGAGGCCGTCTGACACCTCAGTCACTGACAGCTTGAACCTCCTTTAGACCAAAAAGACAAAATGTATTCTGTGTCCTTTGTAGCGTTTAATACTTAAAGGCATTTTTGTAAAAAAGATCTCGAAATTATATATAAAAGTTAATCTTAACCTTTGAGTCATTTTTACATCCCTGATCGTTCATAATTTCTTATTATCTATAAAATTGTTCGATACGGTAAGAAATTAACCCAGAAAAGACTAAAAAATAGCACAATTTAAAGAACGAATAATTAAATATCAATACAATACAAAAAAATCCACCTATCTAGAATTTATTTTATTCTTTTCTTAATGCTGATATTAAATATACTTCATTTAGTAATTGCTTAGTGAAACCAATGTTTACAGTAAAAAAAAGATACGCTTAATTTTTATCATAATACTAGCTGGTATACCCGTTCTTCGCACGGATGAATTGAAAATTTAAGGAATACAGACTGAAGGATAAAAAGAAGTTTTTAATGAATTAATTTTACGTGAATTGCAAATTAAACAAAAAGAAAAAGTTTTATGCATATCTCAGCTGAACAAAAAACCATGTTTGCTAAATTTTAAGTCTGTAAATATAATAGCTGATAAAAAAAAGATTTTTTTTTTACTTATAACGCACCGTAACTCTTTTACGGATCGATTTTTGAAAACACCTTCCTTCTGCTCAGCAAAATTAAGACATTGTTACAAATTTTGTGTAATAAATGCATTAAAATAATGTAAATAATTTGTATCTGGATGTGTAATACGTTAATATTACTTTCTGATGCATTTATTTTATGTTAAATAGCTGTTACCCGCGACTTCGTCCACGTGGAATTTAACACAGAAAAAGTGTTTATTCAATTCGCAGAGTTTACGAAAACTAAATAATTATATATTCCACGTAAGGAAATACCTATGATATAAGTATAATGTCATTCTTTTACTTTGAGAAGCAATGTTTCTTTTTTGTTTTACTTTTTTCTTTGTTTTATGTTGAGCAAAGTGTGAGAGCGACGCATGACCTTTGGTACTGTCGATGGGGTGATGACTGTAAAATCATTGCAGTGTTTGTCAATGAAATAAACAATACAGGTATGAAATTGGCTTACGTCTTTTTAAATGTGGAGCCTTGTGAGAAGTCAAATGACGTAAAACCCAAAAACTTCCTAATTTAAGTTTAAATGCTGTTTATGTTATGGAAAAATTGATGTTTCTCAGTGTTCTTGAGAGAGAATGAAATCATTTTTGGAATAATTATAAGCGTTGAATGCAACAGTTCAAAACAGGTCTAAATAGCAGTAGAGTGAAACGAATCTGCAAGCAGGGGGAGGGGAAGAGTGTCGCGTGACCTTTGACTCTGTCGATGGGGTTGAGGACTGGGTAGGGTGAAACGAAAACAAACGAAGCCGCACGCAAGGGGTAAGAAAGATGCATGACCTTTGACAGTGTCGATGGTGTGAAGACTGTTAAAATCATTAGTATCAGGCATGAAAGGGAAAAATCGCGAGTGTCAATAACCTAATTAAACAAAAAAGTTAGATATAACTGCTAGAAACATTGAGGCAGAAGGCACGCGAAATAAAACAATCCCTATTGACTAAAAATAATCCTTAATGAATAAAAATAATCCCTATTTGAAACGGATGTTGTTCCCCATTTCACTCGTTTTAATTTTATTTTCGCGGAACCCTAATTTTCTTTCTATAATTAAAGTAGCCTAAGTTATTTCGTATAACATTAGATATCTGCCAGTGAAAGTTTTATCAAAATTGGTCCAGCCGTTTCAGAGATTAGCCGGAACAAACAGACGGGCAGAAAGACAGATAGACAGACAGACAGACAAAAATTTTAAAAATTTATTTTTCATATAAATACCATGTATACTTTTAAATGCATTTAGTAAAAAGCTGTTAATTTCATTTTACAAACAGACACTTCATTTTTATTTATATGTATAGATAAAAATAATGATAAAACAAAAGAATGAAGGAAACCTGTTGCTTCTTTTAAAAAAAGAAATAAGTTTCTATGCGATTAAAACAGAATATATGAAAAAATGATTCCATTAAAAATTACTTCAAGAAATATTTTAAATATAAAATTTTGAGTATAAAATACGCCTTATTCTCCAGTAAAAAAATTCCAGCCTTTGCGAGCCCATATACAGTATTTATTGCTCTTATAAAATATTGCTTTTTTACAAATTTTTCCAAAAAATATGGTTTTTCGTATAACTTTTTGAGTTACATTCCGAGCATTTTTCTTTAGCATTAGAAATTGAAATAATCTCTCTCTCATCTGACTTTAATTCACTAACCAAACGATTATTTATTTTTTTAGTATATTTATAATTTTTCTTCACTATTTGCGAAATGCTTTTATTTACTTTCTATAACTTTGCATCGTAACTTTTTTTTCTCTTTTGTTTCCCTTCGGACACTAAAATTTAATTAATCAAATTTTGTTCGATAAAAGAAGAAAACGAGGCTAATGAATTAATCTTGAATTATTTAAAATATTTCAAAAAGAGTTATGTGTGAAAAACTTGCTTATTACGTATCTAAACATTCACTTATAAGAGAAAATACAGAAAAAAATACTAATGAAATGATAAATTATAACATAACTTATAATTTACTTAGACTAAATGCTATGTTGCATCTGAGACTTATAAATATTTTAACTGTGAAATATTTTACCTTTTTGCCCCTGTACCTGGCTATTTTCTTTGAATACAGAAATGACGAAGACGGACAAAGAGGGCAATTTATTTATTTCGATTCCAGATTTTCGATTTGAGTAAATAGCTGTTTACGCACATCTACACGATATACAAAATCATTTTAATTTCTAAATAACATTTTAAGTATAATTCCCAAAAGTGTAGAGTTCTGAAATAAACTTTTATTGTGAGTAAATCGCAACTTCATAAAATTAAAATTCTCGTTTTCTCTGTGGATATTCTTATGTTACAAGCAAAAGGTGTTTTTATGGACTGAGGAGATTTTTAAAATCAAAATTTCTTTCAAGAGAGAGAAACACAATTTACAAAACTCTTATTAGACCAGTTCTGACATATGCATCTGAGACTTGGTCAATAATAAAACTGGAAGAAAATCGAATGAATCCTTTGAGAGATAAATACTTCGAAGTATACTTGGAGGTGTAAACGAAAAAAATAGCCCAAGAAGAATAGAATTTATTAACAATCTGACATCATTAAACACATAAACATAAATGGAATTAATTGGATGAACCATATAATTCGAATCCTACATGATGATAATGTTGTTGTCAAAAAAGATACTGCAGTTTTCTCAAAATCACTGGGATTCGAAAGCGTAAAAGACCAAGGCTGAGATAAACAGATTCAGTGGAATCAGACTTCGGGATTATGAGCAAGAAAACTTGGAGAACGGAGGTGAATGAGAGGTCACTATGGAGAAAACTTAAAAAGAAGGCACTGGCTCACGAGGGGCTGTCTTTTTGTATATGATGCTGAAGATGATGACAAGAAAAATGTCTCAAAAAGTATGGGGACAGTTTTCAAAAGATGATTAATAACCTAAGACTTAACGCCTTTACTATTAAAAAAATGTATACAGTACAAATTACACCATTTCCACTATTGTATGCAACAAAATGGAAAAAAATTTGTTTCAGAATTTAAAACCCATCTATGATGAAGAAAATTCTCTGGTATATAGATGAAGTGAAAAATAAAATAAGAAATTAATAAGTACTGATAAAATTATAAGTACTACCACAAGGGGAATGAAGCTTAAGTATTTGAGCTTTTCTTATAATTCTTGTTAAAGTAAAAGTAATTCTTGTTAAAAAAACAAGTAATATAAAAAAATTAAGTCAATTCCTATGGTCAACAAAGAAAAATTTTGTTTTAGTTACTTTTTATTAAATAGTTATAATTAATATAAACATATATATACATAGGACAGAATCACACTATTAAGTGACAAAAATAGAAAAAGATTTTCCTTGCAATTTTCAATTTTCTGTTCTATAAGGGTGTTGGACTATTTTTTTTGTTACTGTTTATTCATAAATTAAATTTAAATATTCTAATAAAATCATTAAGTAAAAAAAAGAAATCGCATTCTCAGAAATAAAGCCATCTCAGGTGGAATTCAAATTCATGACCTTTGGATTAGAAATCCAACACGCTATCCATTGCGCTACAGGACACAACAGACGATTTTCCTTCCTGTTGGACTATTGTTTTTGTTTGTAACTATCTATTGATTTTTTAATTTAATTAATGAATTAATATTTGAAAAAACTTTATTAACACCAAGTGTTATCCACTACAAGCTTTAAAAAATGTATTTGAACTTGAATGGATGAATAGAAAGTACTTTATTAACGATTGAAAATTTGAACTATATATATATATAGTTCAAATTTTATAGTAGAATGGTAGAATATATATGGTAGAATTCATGGATTTAGACTTGCATCTTATTAACAATAATGTAACTAGTAACATTTTTGACAAAATATATTCTTTTAAGTTCCATATAATTAAAATTCCTGTATGGAATAGTAACTTGTATTTATCAATTTTCAGAAATATCATTTTGAATTTTTTATTTAGAAATGAGAACTTAACTACCCACAAAATAGATAAATTCAACAATATAAAAAAAATTTCAATGTTGTTTAGATCATGAATACCCTTTTTAATTTCTTAAGAACTTATATTCATCACAAATACATTAACCGTCTTGCTACTTCTAATTCCAAATCCACCACACAACAATAGTATTTCAAAGTCAGCATGTTAGTGGTCTTGCTGTGAAGATCATATCATAACACTCATATCACAGTTTACATCTTTTCTACACACATCTTGAACATCTTACACATTTTTGACAACCAACCAAATTAGAGCCTATCAAATTTGTACATCTTTTACAATCAACCAATTCAAAGCCTGCCATATTTGATTGTCATCTCTCTTGGTATCTATCTTTGCTGGCTGGTTTAAAAGTTAGTTCAAAAGATGCATTTATGTATTTTCGAATTTTTTAACTCGGTGAATAATTGATTTTCATTAATTTCAAGATGCTTGGCTCTCTTGAAAAAACTATGTGAGTAAAGAAATTTTGTTCAATTCTTTTTTGAAAAATACTTTTCTTACGTAATTGTTTTAGGATTTTTCTATTTTTCTACTTTTCTTAAGTAATTGTTTTGGGTTTTTTCTGCATTAAGAGTTTGGGAGAGTTTGTTGCAAAGTAGTAGTCAGTGGTTTTATCATTCTCTGCGTGAGTTTTTACATACTTTGAATTTTTGTTTATTTTATTTGGTTTTTCCTACCGAGTTGCAAAGGGGGAAGGTTGGTGCCTTCAAACTAGTTTAACCCTACTTATTCAGTCCTAAGTCCGAAATTGCTTTCTGACTCACTAGGTTCTTTTTTGTATTTTTCTATAAATTCGATCTTCATGTTTAGCTTTTATATTTTTATTACGTTAGTTCTTGTTATTTTCGTTATCTATTATTTCTTATTTTTGATATGTTATAAAAATTTCTTTCCTATATATAGGTTGGATCCATAAAGCATTGCTAACCCTAGATCGCTGGCCTAATTCAGCGACAGCTTTAGAAATCATAATAGGTCTCCAGTTTAGTGTAAAGACTTTTTTGTATCTACATTTGTTGTGTCTTGTGAATTCCAATTTCTTCCTTCTTTAGCACTGTAGATTCTAGAACTTCTTCACTTTATTTTACTGTACTATATATATAAGGAAAGAGTGAACTAATAGTAGGAATTGCAAAAAAGGCATTTTTGTACTTTTTAACCTTTAGTACGCTGACTAACTAAATAGGCACACACAAAATCAGATACATTCAACAGCTTCTTTAATATTGAATTTTTAAAAATTTACTATTGAAATGACGGTGCAGGATCAAGTAAAAGACTAAACAAAGCTTTAAAATTACTGACTTCAAGGCGGTGTGAGAGACTGAGATTATGAAATGTTGCAGTACAATTTATTCACTTTCAGAACTGGCTTATCAATTAATATTTTTGGTTATTTATGTTGTAGAAAAATAACTTTATTTGAGCCAATAATCAATTAATCAAAATTAAGTCATTCTATTTTTTTCGGGAATCCGACCCCTTTTATTAATATTAAATATTGTAATTTATTTTTTAATCATTTTTCAATTCATCTTTTTACAACAGAACATCTTTTCCACATAGATAGGTTTCGATTAATAATAATTTTTTTCTACATACAAGCATGATCCACTTTAGTGTATAATATAAATTAGTGGTTCTTATATAAACTGCATACCGCGGAACTCTGGAGGTCTCCAGAGCTGTTCTATGGGGTTCGCGGAGTCTCTCCTTTAACATTAAGATTTCCTTCCTTTACAGACTCTGAAAAGACTTGCGGAAAAATTGAAAGATGTGTCATCCAAGATCAGACCAGTAAGTTGTCCCCAATGAAAAAATTCAACTAGAAGAACATGTATTTTGATCAAGAATATTCAGTCAGAGAGGGGTGTATAAAGTCTTGAGGGTGCACGATGTCCGGCTGATACTTAAAGGGGGCGGGGGCAGCGACGATAGAAAGTTTAAGAACAGCTGGTATCAATTGTTTGACTATTCGGCATTTAAGACAGATTTTGAAAGATACTTTATTTTTTGCTTTTGAATATCTTACTTAATTATAGTTAATTCATCATTATTCCCTTAGGCTTCAAATGGAGGGTAACGTGTAAGAAAATTCGGGCTAAGACCCCCCCTCCCAAAAAAATGATGAAATGGAATTGGAACTTTAAAGTTGGGAGATATTTGCTGAGAAAATACAATACGTTGAATTATATACTGGAAGGATTCAAAAGTTCCCGGACTGAACCTATAGCGTGGAAATTTTTTGCAGCAGAGTGACTACAATAACATTTCTGTGCCATTGCCTTCTTCCATTTTTCTAAAAAATGTTTGTTCCAATTCACGTGGTCGGTGGGTCACCATGGTAACGTATTTTGTAGGCGGATGTATGTAGTCGTTAGCGATTGAATGAAATGGCGTTTGTGTTGAGCGGATAATGAATATTAATTTTTGTGTTCATTCGGAAAAAAGTGCTCGGTTATTTACGAAATTTTGAAGCAGGTGTAAGGTTGTGATACGCAAGCTTTTGAGTGGCATCGACTTCTCATAAGAGCGCAGGGAGTGTCGAAGACGGCAAATGCTCTAAGAGAGCTCCAGAGATTTTCCACACCACTAAAAACATTGAAAAGGGTTCTGCTGCGGTACGTAAGAACAGGCTTCAAACAATAGCAGAATCAGTTGGGATATCCTCGTCCTCATGTCAATGGATACTGACTAAGGATCTTCACATGCATAGGTTGTGTCAACATAATTTTCCTCCAATTAAAACGCAGAGGAAGTTAAAAGTGCATCACGGGCTGAATTAAAAGACAAGGTTAAAAATGGATTTCAGAATTTTTTGATGACCTTTACAAGACATGGAAAAATGCTACTCAAGGGTCTTATTTCAAAGAAGGATGCGTTTCAGCAGTTTCATCGGTAATATTTTTAAGTTATGGACTCGGTAAGGGAACTTTTGAATTTTACTACGTATATTGGAAGGTAATGGGAGATGTTTGCAGGTTAACAAAAATTAGAAGGAAAAAGAATTTTGGTTAAGCTTTAATTTAATTATTCTTACATTTATATGAACACCAATTAAAATAAATATTGTTTCAAAACCGTCTGTAATTTTATAACTCAGAACATTTAAAACTATTTGGGTGAAAACATTTCTACCTAAAATGGAAAAGGAGCAGTTTCAAGTAATCCCACGTTTTAGAATTCCTTGAAATTCAATTTTCCTGCTTCACGCATTCTAGTTTTAATTATTCATGAAAACATTAAGTGATGTTTTAAAAGCCACTTATGTTTCAGTTAAAAATGAATTAAAAATTCATTTACGAGAATAAATGTCTGGGTTCCTTCAAAGTTTCTCAAGAAGTAAATGTTAGAATAATTATTTTCAAAGTTTTTGAAAAGCACAGAGTGAATGGTTCTGTTTTTTTTACGTATTACTTACTTTAAAAATTACCCTAGAGGTTTCTTACCCTATGTGAAGTTAAAAAAAAAAGAATTTAATTTTACATAATCAATTCATTTTCTAGAAAATTAATTGTGAATAATTTGGTAATTAAGTTAAGATATCCGACTACCCTAAAATCTTGATTTTTTTTTAAAAAAAATTACAATTTTTGGCTTTAATTTATAGGCCAACTTATTAGCTTTATAAAAACACCACGTTTTTTATTTTACATTCAGTAGAACAAAAACTACAAGTTTATTTGTAAAAGCAGATGTCATAACTTTTCATATATATATATATATATATATATATATATATATATATATATATATATATATATATATATATAAGATGTCAAACTTTAAAATTTCTTTTTACTATAAATGTGTTTTCTTCGAAAAGCTCAAACAGGGGGCAGCGAATGCTCAAAAGGTTTTGAAAATAATTCGCTGCAATTTTTTTTGTGTACCTTCTGTATAACAGTAGAAGTGTTTTAACCTTCAGATTTATCAATCACTGTTTTATTACAAAAAATTAATTACCACTTAATGTTGTGATTCTGTCCTACATATATACATATTTATATTAATTGTAACTATTTAGTAAAAAGTAGCTAAAATAAAATTTTTCTTTGTTGATCTAAGTAGGAATTGACTTAAAAAAATTATATTACTTGTTAATTAATAAAAACTAGAAAAAGCTACAAAACTACAGTGGTGGCGAAAAGTCCTGAACACACTCATTTTTTAGCGTAGTTTTTATGTTTGAGTTCATTTTTCGTTGTGAAATTATCGCATTATCTTAAATATTGTTATTGATTTTAATGTATTTTTTATTCTGATTTCAAAAATCTACTACTAGTTTCTTAATGACTAAAATATTTTTGTAGTAAAGCTGCCTGAACACAATAATGTAAAATATGTGCAGAATAAAACAATATCGAATAACATAATATGCAAAGAAAAATAACACGAAAATTGACAAATACGGTGTATTAAATATATATATATATATATATATATATATATATATATATAAGCATTTTGAAAATTACATTGTTGTCACATGTTAGAAAATCAATATTTTATGGGCCAGCCGTTTGCTTTAATTACGGCTCTACATCTTTTTGG